CCCAAATAAAAACATGTGTGCAGGTGTGTAAATACATCTCCAGAGAACCTTAATTCATGGCGTATTTGTTCAAGTATTCTCAGTGTTTGTAGTTAGTGAATGTTTGGTTTGGTCTTCTCATCACTAGGGCATTATTTGCAATACAATAAATATAAAAAGAAATAATACTGTTTACTCTATTGTTAAACACTGAGAATATTACCCCGAGGTAAGGAAGCTAGAGAAAGAAAATAATGCATTTTAACATCCAATCTATGAAGAAGCAAACTCATAAAGACATAAAGTAGTCTAGTGGTTTCTTGAGGTTTGAGGAGGGGTGATTGGAGATGAGGACTGTAGCCTACAGGGCACAGCATTTCTTTCTGACCTGTTGATATGTTAAGTATTTTTGTTGAGGCTGCAGAGGAGACTTAATGGTTCAGATCACTTAGCCTCCACACGACCCAGGTGGTTGTCAGATCCCATGTCAGGCAGCTCACTGGCACATGTAATTCCTGCTCCAGGAGATCTGACACCATGGCCTTTGTGTGCATCTGCATTCATGTGCCCGTACTGCACTCATACTTAATAAGAAAATGATTTGATAATGGTTGTAAGACTTCACCAACATGCTAAAGTCCCCTACATTGTTATCTCCTTTTATGTATTCCACCACAGTGGTCCTCATTGCTTCCTTCATTCCAGGAGGCTCATTCCATACCAATCAGACTGGCTTTAGACTTGTAGCAATCTTCCTGCTTCTACCTCCTGAGTAGTGGGATTTTAGGTTTGCTATCATACCTTCAAAGTAGTTTGCTGTCATTGGATGATTTGTACACTTATGTGAATTATGTCTCAATAAAAGTAGTATTCAAAAAGTGTTATTCAATTATGGAGTGTGAACTTCCATTATATTCTGATTTTCAGAAGAGCTCTAAGTAATGAAATATAATTGCTGTTTTTAATTTTATACATTTGGTGGTTGACAGATTGTTGTGTGCATGTGTCTGTCCATGTTTTTGTACATGCCAGTTCTAAAGCACAATGTGTAGGTCAGAGGTAGCATTTCAGAAGAAGGTTCTCTCTTCCAGTGATGTTGGACATGGTGATTTAATGAGGGTTGTCAGGCTTCCTTTACTTGGTAAGGTGCTGAGTCATCCTTTTATCTCTCCTTTTGCTTCAATATAGGCATTATTATTGGGTTAGAAAATTATTCTTGTCTGTTGAAATAACTGACTTGGAATTTGTCTTCTTACTTTAATGTACCTATTATATATATATATATATATATAATAGAAAATATGATAGAAAAAAGACATAGCAACTGGGATGCTTACTCATGACACTCTAAAGACCTAGATGTTTATTGTTTTCTGTTGATTGGTGGTGTGTTTGTCCAATTCTGCACGAAATTCTTAAGGAACTGCAGAGGCCACCAAGAACATGGATTAGTGGATCAACAAAGTTCACAACCATGTAGGGTCTATGCTGGGTCTACAGAGTGTGAAAGGTGTCTTAAAAGTGTTATACTTTTCCCCTGGTCTATTAGCTTCTTGTACTTACCTGGGTTCTCTCTACAAAACAGTGTCATGAGTTCAGTTGCTCCTGGGCTTGAAAGTCCCCCAGGAGACCATCAGATCCATTATCACACTTCTTGTAGTCTGCAGATGATGCCCAGAGTTGTGATCTTGGGTGTAAGGAAGCTGGGAAGTCTCAGGAGAAGGAGATAAAACTTTTAATGATTCTGGGATTTAGAGGTCACTCACCTCCCATACTTCATAACCCAGATTCTGGCCACAGCCTGCCCGTTGTTTTCTTGAAATTTTCCCAGTGTGATCTTAGCCTCAGGTCCTTCATCAAGGGCAGTTCCTAGATAAAAGCCCCCTTCACTACTAGCCATTGCTCCATATGGGGCTGTGCTGTCATTGGCTGTCTTGCCCACATCAGGCATGTGGCTGTGTACCTTCCTTCCTGTTGTCCTTGTCTGTCTGTCTGGGTCTGCTCTTTCTGGGCCAAGAGCTTGGCTTTTCCCAAGGCAGAGGCCCCACTTTGACCGTCCTGGAGATGTGGTGTTGGGTGGCAGCTTCTCCATCTTTCGATTATTTAATGGTATCCTACCTGACTTCACTGACCCACCAGCTGGACTGTTTGCTTCAGGGTAAGTCCTGGATGTGTGGTAATGATCTCTGAATTCCCATAGTCGCTTCCCAAGGTTGTGTGAAGCTTTCAGCAGGATTGATTCTTAGCATCCCAGCTAGATGGGCACTGCAATTCTCTGTGTATATATGCAGTAGCTCCGTTGCTCTCCTTTTCCATCACCTCTGTCTGTCTGTCTTTCTTGTTTTTAGCAAACTGAAATATGGGCTCTTCATGTAGTGACTGTAGTGTATGTTTTCCTCCGGTCAGGTTTGGATTCTCTATTTTTTTCTATATCCCTGGTTCTTAAAGTCATGTCTAGACTGTGTGTTTGTTAAATGTATTCCTGTGTAAACAATACATTTTTGTCAGTTATCAGCCTCTGTGATTCCTCTTTACTGTATTCCTTTTGCTTGTTATTTTTCTAAGAGTCATGGAGCTTCCAGTGCCCTATGTAGTCAAAGAAGACATTGAATTTCCTATCCTCCTCCTTCCCCCTTTCAAGTTCTGAGATAATTGGACTGGATCACCACACTGAGTTTTTTATGAGGTGCTGGAGATCAAGTTTACAAATTGAGCCATATCCACAATCCCACTTTAGGATATTTTTGTTCCTGCTTTCCCAGCATCCTGTTGCATGCAGTAGTTTTCCACATAATCGTTTAGATTACTGTCTTTTATTTTAAATGATTGTGGTTAGCTTTATTTCCTTGTAATTGCTGCTTTGGCTGAGCATAGACCACATGTCTATCTTAGCACTCAGGAAGCTGAGGCAGCAGTATTACTAGCTTCAATCAAGCTTTGGGTACATAATGAGATGTGAGTCAAAAAGAGTTGATTTTAGTGTTTTCTAAAGTAACTACCATCATTATGTATTCAACCACAAATGCAAGAGATGTTTACTACTGATTTTTCATATTTAACATCAGTTACATGTATTCATTTATTTTTGAGACACTATCCCATTGGTGTTCAGGCAAGTCTAGTACTCCCTGTGTAGTTCAAACTAGCCCTCAAACACAGGATTATAATCACGAGTCATTCCTTTGGCCACACTGGCTTCTTCGTGATGTTTTCCTTTTTAAGAGATTGTGTTACTGTTGCAAATAAACAACATGGTGAACCTTGGCAGATTCCATGGCAGGCAAGGGTGACTGAGCCTGAGGGACAAAGATGTCAGGCAGACAGAGTTTAAGGGTGAGGTTTTATTTGAAAGGGGAGGGAGGGGGAAGGACAGAGAAAAGAGGTAAAGAGACACACAGCAAAGACTCTTAGACAGAGAAGACTGAAGTGAAGAGTGATACAGGAAAAGTCCTGTCTGCCTTCAGTTAAACAGCAGCAAAGAGAGTTAAATATAGGAGCAGGGAAGAGAGAAGGAAAGAGAGCTTAAGTGGGCAGCCATCTGTCTTTTAAAGGGGTCCTTTGATCCTTCTAGCTGACTAGTCATGGAACCCTGGCTTGACCAGGGTACTTCCAGAGTGCATTCTTCCAGGTGACAGGGGCAGGCCAGTATAATCCTTGGATCTTTACAGGTACTGATAGATGCATCTAGCCTAGAAGTCATTATCTTACTGCTTCCAAAACCTGAGTGCTGGAATCATAAGTGTATGCCACCATACCTGTATCCCCTATTATTTGTAAGCCAATGAACAACGGTTGTATGAATGTATTGGGTACAATGATGTATGTAGCTATACACATATGGTATAGAGTGATTACTCAAGCTCACCAACAAACCTATCAACCTTTACCCTCCAAGGAAAGCAATTTTTAACACAAATACTCCACCAGCAGCCCCCTACTCAAGTATGCTGGAAGCAAATGCTAGAAATCAGCTTCTGGCTTATATATACATGCATACCCATACATTAAAGAATAGATTTATTATTATTCTCAGGAATGTATGAGTGTGAGGGCAGGCTCAGTAATAAGGAGACACTGCCTCAAAACAAAACAAACCTATTCTCAAAACCAAAAACAAAAACAAAAAACAAACCTATTCTCAACGTTAAAATTTGGAAAAATTTAATGAACATAAAAAACATCAGCAGGGTGTGGTGCCACTTTCTTTAAATCCCAACACTCAAAAAACAGAGGCTGGTGGATCTCTGTTAGTTCCAGGCCAGCCAGGGCTACAAAGTGATTGTTAGTCTGAGCATCCTCCTATCTCTCTCTGTCTCTCTGTCTGTCTCTGTCTCTCTGTCTCTCTGTCTCCTTCTCCATATCTATATATCTATGGCGGATTTTCTCTCGGTATACACACACACACATAAATTTATATATATCCTTCCCCCTACACTCCTTCCAACATCTCCCATATGATACAGCCTCTCAAATTTATGGCCTATTTTGCTTTAATTATTATTGAAGCACAAATATGCACACACATATATCACTACAGAAATGTGACCCATTTAGTCCTTTTATAATTACATGTATGTATCTGCTTTAAAATTTTATTACATGTGTACTTCATTGATTTCATGTTTCTATAGTGCTTTCCTTTAGTTTTCATCCCCATCTGCCTCCCTTTCCTTCCTTTCTCATCTGTAATTCCCTCCTCCTCATCCTTTCTGCAGGTCCTTATTCAATATTCATGATTTCTTATTTTGTTAGCCATTTGTTGGGGAAGTCCTGTGTATTTGTCAATAAATCACTGTTGGCCAATAGGGAACTAAGGTAGGTGGGACTAGGATTCCAGGAGGACTCAGGGGAGGAGAAACACAGAGAGTCATGATGTAACGCCATGGGGTAGGAAGCCCGGAAAGTTCTCTGGTAAGAGAAATACTTAAATTAACAATTATGGGGTAATTACTTAAGTCAGAGCTAGCCAGTAAGAAACAAGCAAGGCCAACAGCTTCATAATTAATATAGCCTCATGTGTGTTTATTTGGGACTGATGAGGCTATAGAACCAGGCTGGCGGGAAGGCTTCTCTCAAGGAAAAGCTTTCCTTTAGAGCCATTGATTTTTTTCAGACAGGTTTTTCTGTGTAGCACTGGCAGGTCTTGAACTCACTCTTTAGTCCAGGATTGTCTCAAATTAAAAACCATCTGCCTACCTCTGGCTCTCCCGTTCAGGGATTAAAGGCATGCATCTCCACTGCCCAGGTAGAAGCCACTGATTTTATCCAGGGAAGTCTGTGTGGATGCAGGTTTGGAACTGTCCTCTAGAGTTTGTGGGTTTACCTGCTGGAAACATGACTGAAGGCAATGAGTGTTTTTCCCCAACATACATCAATGGTAAATAATTCCACAAGAAAGTTTAAGGCCATACAAAGAATTTTCCAATGCAAGACTGACTGTTGACAGGATTACATGTGTGCATCATGTCCCAAAGACAATATCTCACATGTCTACTCCATGTCTTCTGGCTCTCAGGTTCAGCACTTCTGAAATAGAAGTCAGTTCCTATTAACTATTAATTGCAACCAATCATACAATGCAATAGAATTTTTTTGTTTCCTTGAGAGATAGTCTTTCTGTGTAGCTCTGGATTCCTGCATTAGGTCATGTAATCCATGATGGTCTCCAATTATGTGTATCTAACTGTTTCTTTCTCTTCAGTGCTGGGATCAAACTCTTGTGTATTCGTACCCAGATCATTCAATAGATGTTCAGTTATCCTTCCTGTCTTCTGAAACCACCCCATCTGATTACTGTGTCTGGCTCCCCTTTGATTATTCTGAACTGAACTCCTGTGTGCAAGCATTTTTGGAGTTACATGTTTTTCCTTGTATCCCTTGAGTCACTGTGCTTCTTATTGTTCCCCTTACCACACCATGAATAATAATGTGGGCTTTTCTATACCTCAGTGTTTCCCAGTGGGGCTACCCAGTGGCCCAGAGTTTTGTGTTTGCCATCGAGGAGATTAATAGGAGAGCTGACCTGCTGCCCAATTTGACCCTGGGCTTCTCCATTCGAAACTCTGGGGATTCAGTGCATGGTGTCATCCATGAGACGCTCAGCTTTCTCACGAGGCAGGAGGAGCCCATCCCCAACTACACCTGCCAGCATGGTTCTCCTCAGGTGGCCCTCATTGGGGCCACAAGGTCTGTCTCCATGGCCAGTCTTCTGGGGTTTTACAGGTTTCCCCAGGTAAGTTACTCCAAGCTTTCTTCGGTCATAAATGTGATGCAATTAGTTAATGATGATAGTGAAAATGATGGTGATGGTCATGGTAGTGAGCAGCTCTACTGTGGAGACAGTATCCATTGCTAAGTTTCTCTATGTCCAACATAATTCTCTTCCATGGGTAAATTACGTGGAGAGAACTATCATCCTTCTCAATGATGAGAGAACTGAAAAATTTTCTTCTTATTATTTTAAAAATAATTTTTTATTTTTTAAAGTGTAAGTTTATATTCTCATATATATATATATATTAATGCACATATGTAACATCATAAACATACACACAATCACACACCCCAGTTTTCCATAGACATTCAGAAGAGGGTAGTGGATTCCCTATGACCTGGAGGTACAAATATTTCCTCCCTGCCACAATTGTGTTGACATTTGAATCCTGGTCCTCTGAAAGAGTAGCTAATACTGTTAATTACTGCTCCAACTCTTCAGCTTCTTATTATACCTATATGTCTATATGTGTGTGTGTTTGTGTGCTTGTGTGTTTGTGTATTCATTTAAGCACTCAACTCCAGTACAATGTTGTTCATGTGATCATCAGAGCACAAATTTAGAATTAATTTTTCTGCTACAATGTTGAATTTGGGGATTAAACTTATGTTTTTGAGGCTTGATTGCATACACATATACCTAAGCTCTCAGAGGAAAATCAATCAATCAATCAATCAATCAATCAATGAATCAATCACACAAACAAACAAACATACTACTCCAGATTTATCATAATGTTGCTTGGATGTACATACCTGGAATTTGAATCTAGGTAATTGGGCTCTTACCACTTGCTCCTGTCTACAGGCTATTTCCTGTAACCCAGGCATCAGTGTCATTCCCACAAGGGGGACCATATCTGGCAATCATCTCTTCAGTTCATAATTTTAAGAGGTGACTTGAGGAAAATTTATCCATCGAAGGAGAACATTGTAGTGGCTTTTTTTTAGCATGATACCCAAATTCGTTTTGAGAATATTTTCATCCTCCTGGAAAAAGACATCCTGTCAAGCCCATTGGTATAACATCCCAGCATTCCTACTTGAAGGAGACCTCCTGAAATTTGTCTTCTTATCTTCACATGCAAGCACACAGACACAGAGCAGACACACACACAGATCAGACACACAGACAGACAGACAGACACACACACACACACACACACACTTTAAAAACAACAACCTAACAGCTGTGTGAAAACAGGAGAGTCAGATCAAGTCTAGCTAAAGTGTGGGCATAAAACATTAGGGGTCAGATGGAGGACATATGTATGTGGTACACGCCTATGGGCTCATATGTCTTTCTACATGCAGGCGTATGTGGTCGGGTGTGTACTCATGTGTATATATTTGGGAAGGTATGAGGATGATGTGAGAAATCTTGCCTTCACTGTTCTGCCTCATTTTTTTGGGCAGGGTCTCTCACTCAACCTCACCTTCTGAGAGGAGAGCAGGTAAATCTGGGGTTCTAGCCTTCATTCCAGAAGCCACTGGGCTGTGTCAGGGATTATTGGCCAGTGAGTGGCACAGAGCAGCTTGCAGAACCAGCACAGTTGTAAGGCAGGAGGCTTAAGTCTTTTCCTGAAATTTGTGTATGTTTTAAAATTTAATATACATTCGTGTGTGTGTGTGTGTGTGTGTGTGTGTGTGTGTGTGTGTGTTGAGTATATGAAGAGATCCTGTACACAGCCAGGAAAGGGTATCTGATTTCCTGGAGCTGGTGAAACAGGCAGATGTGCAGATCCTGATGTTGATCCTGGGAATCAAACTTTGGTCCTCTGTAATACCAGCAGGGTCTTTTAACTGTAGACCCATGTCTCCACTCCCTCCTACATTGGATCCAGACCATCAGCCCACATGTAAAGCTCCAATTTCATCCACTCTTGTATTTCCTGTCTCTTCCTTGACAGGTCAGTTATGGATCCTCACTACCCAGCATCAGTGACAACATTCAGTTCCCATCTATCCTGGGCACCCTGACTAGTGACCTCAAGGCCTTCAGTGCAGTGACTCAGTTGGTAATTCACCTTCAGTGGTCTTGGGTGATCATTCTGGCCCATGATGATGACTTAGGGCAGCATGCCAGCTCTCTGGCCAATCAGGAGCTGAGCCCAGCTGGTGTGTGTATTGAGTCCACAATCTACGTCTCTTTCCATGAGTCCTTGAAGAAGATAGAAGAGTTTTCCCAGAAGATGCAAAAATGCACAGCCAGAGCTGTTCTGGTTTTTCTAAACATTGTCAATTTCCAAATAAGTCCTGCATGACTTACTGGGCATCCCTGTCTTCAGGCCAGGTCTGGGTCATCAAGGACACTATGCATGTGTCACTCGCCCTGAGCATTCCAGGAGTTTCCAAGTTACTGCATAGCATATTTGGCCTTCTGTATCACAGCAGTAGTGCAATTGGCTTTCCTGAGTTCCTTGCCAACTTGCGCCCCAGACAGACCCCAGAGGACATGTTCATAAAGAAGGTCTGGGAGTTCACCTTTGATTGTGTATGGCCTCACCAGAGCAGCACAGTGAGTGAGGGTGTCCAATTGTGCTCAGGGAATGAGAGTCTGAAAAACCAGCTGTACCCTTTCCAAGAAGTTAGTAAGATGGATGCTGCTTACATATGTGTCTATAGCATTGCCCATGCCCTGCAGGACATGATAGATGATGAGCACCAGCATGGGAAAGGTACAGACTCTCAGGACTTCCATCCCTGGCAGGTGAGAGAGGCATGTGTGCAGTGCATGATTCAGGGATGGATGGGGAAGAGGACTTTGGTTCAAACTGAACTGTTGAGCTGAGGCTGACTGTATGCTTTAGCCAGGATTCCTCATACTTGAAACAGAGAGGCATCTTAAAAGGAACAATGGATAAGGATTCCAAGGTGTCTCTATAATCTCAAATGAGTACTAAGTTCCTGTGTATTTCCTGCCTTAACAAATAGAGGATGTCTAGTAAAATTTAATGTTTCAGATAACACTAAAGACATTTTATTGATATCCTAAATTTATACTTTTATAAACAGTGTAAGGGTTTTACTATACTCATGCTGCAAATCAGGATTTCTAACACATATCAAATGTCATTTTTTTATTTTTCCTTCTTTTGGGTGTGTGGTAAATATGTCTGGGCATTGGTTTGTGTGTATGCAGGCACGCAGTGGTGGCCCTGCACACTCACATGGGAAGGTCTGAGAATGATGAGGAATCACCTTTCAATCACTCACCTATGTTATTCTTTGTGGCAGGGTGTTCTCACTAAAATCCAGAAATTGTTGATGTGTCTAGTTTTGGTAGCCATCTTGTTCTGGCCTTCTCCTGTCTCCACCTGTTTTTTGTTTGTTTATTGTTTGTTTGTGTGTCTGTACTATATCTTTTAGTGGAGTATATTTTTAATTGAGTTATATATTTTCCTCACTCCTCTACCCTCCTGCCTCTCCATCATTTCATCCTCCTCTATACCTCTTGCAGTCCCTGTTTACTCAGAGAATCTTGTCCCTTTTTCCCATTCCTAGGTCTGATCCATGTATGTCTCTTAGGTTCCTCTTTGTTACTTAGGTCCTCTTTGGTTTGTGGACTCTAGGCTGGTTGTCTTTTGCTTTATGTCTAATATCCAATTATGAGTGAGTACATACTATATTAGTCTTTCTTGGTCTGGGTTACCTCACTCAACATGTCTTTTTCTAGTTCCAACCATTTGATTGCGAGCTTTCAAGAATGGCAATTTTTTTAAAGTTGAGTAGTACTCCATTGTGCAAATGTAATAAATGTTCCTTATCCATTCTTTGGTTGAGGGACACGTAGATTGTTTCAATGTTCTGGCTATTATTGATAATGCTGCTATGAACATTGTTGAGCAAATGATCTTGTGGTATGAATGAGCATCCTTAGTGTATATGCCCAAGAATGATATTGCTGTGTCTTGGCGTAGAATGATTCCCAATTTTCTTAGAAACCAGTTTACAGGTTTCCAAAATGGTTGTACAAGTTTGCACTCCCATCAGCAATGCAGGAGTGTTCCCTTTTCTCCACCTCCTTTCCAGCTTAAGCTGTCAGCAGATTTTTGTTTTTAGCCATTCTGATCAATGTAAGATGGTATCTAAGATTTGTTTTGATTTGCATTTCTCTGATGACTAAGGATGTTGATCATTTCATTAAGTGTCTTTTGGCCATTTGAAATCACTGTGTTGAGAGCTTTCTGTTTAGAGGCGTATCCCATTTTTTATTTGATATTTGATGTCTAGTTTTTTCAGTTCATTGTTTTTTTTTGTTTTTTGTTTTTTTTTTATGAGACAGGGTTTCTCTGTATTGTTTTGGAGGCTATCGGTCCAGCCCAGCCTCGAACTCACAGAGATCCGCCTGCCTCTGCCTTCCGAGTGCTGGGATTAAAGGCGTGCGCCACCACTGCCCGGCCAGTTCATTGTTTTTGACATTAGTCATTCATCAGATGTTGGATTAGATGTTCAGGTATTTTCCATTCTGTAGGGATCCATTTTTTTTGTTGATCATGTCCTTTGCCTTACAGAAGCTTCTTAGTTTCAGGAGGTCCCATTTGTTGTTATATCTGTGTTATCGTTTTTATATTTGGCAAGTTGTCTCCTGTGCCAACACATCGACACATCGAAGGCTACTTCTGACTTTCTCTTCCATGAGTTTCAGTGTGGTTGGCTTTATTTTGAGGTCTTTGATCCATTTGGACTTGAGTTTTGTGCAAGACATTAGATATGGATCAATTTCCACTTTTCTATGTATCAGCCTTGAGTTATGCCAGAACCATTTGTTGAAGATACTTTCTTTTTCCATTGTATAATTTTAGTTTCTTTATCAAAAATTAGGTGTTCATAGGTGTGTTGACTGATATCAAGGTTGATGCTTCAAGGACTCTTTCTCAACAGTTAACACACACACTCTCTCTCCCAGCTTGAGGATGATCTCTCTCTCTCATCTGCTGGCTCTTCTCTCAGTATCTTTCTCTGTGTCTCTCCCTGTCTCTCTCTCTCTGTCCATAGTTATGAGCCTTTGCGTCAGCTGCTGACATGGTCTATTCTCTCCACCTTCTCAGATTGTAATTAGAAATGAGCTGCTACATACCCTTGACATTTAGTTGGGTTCTGAGGTTTGAATTCCCATTCTCAAGGTTTTATGACAAATGTTTTAATCACAGAGCCATCTCACAAACCCTCACTTATTTTTCTATTTTAAAAATAATATTGATATTACCATACATGTGTAGAATACATTTTGATCATGCCCAAGTCTTTAACTATCTATCAGTCTATCTGTCTGTCTATTTTATCTGTCTATCTATCTATCTATCTATCTATCTATCTATCTATCTATCTATCTTTTGCAAGTGAATCAGGGGTATCATAGGTTCAAGTTTGTAAGACGACCCCTAGAAGCTATAGTGCTCACTGATGAGGTCAACAGTGAGAGTGGTGGCCAAGGAGGGGGTTTGTTTTTATTATCGTTGTTCAGATGACCGAAATTTCCACTGTGTGTCTGGTGAAGTTACATGTCATTGTAAACTTGAAGGACAGTGATAGTTGTTGGCATTTTGGCTGAGGGTAACAGATTAAAATTTACAGGAGGATTCTTGCTGGACCATACCTGTTATGCTAGGGATGTTGCGGCCAACCTGGTCTACAATATAAGATCCTGTCAGAAAAATCTGTGAGTGTTGAGATGTCTGTGTGTACTCTATGATGAAGACATAAGGTAGATGGAGTGAGGAGTAAGTGAATGGAAGTGACAGGCCCAAGAAATCATCTCTGTCAGGAAACATGAATTCCAAACAAGAGGATGAGAAGTCCCACCATCAGAAGAAGTGATGTCATTGCAGAAGGCAGGGACAATATGCATCAAGACCCCAGAATGAAGAGAAATATAAGACCCACATGGGATGCACTGATTAATTGTCAGAGATCAGACAGAGTAATTGGGTGGTCTAGGTGGGCTGGGACCAGTTTTGCTCTGGTTCGGAGTCTACTGAATGTGATGAGGAGGCTGAAGACAGTAGTTCAAGGCCAAATGAGACCCTGTTTGTGGGTTTAATTTTAAGGCTGTTGAGAAATCTTAGTGGGTAAATGCACTTTTCCCCAAGTATAAGTTTGATTCCTGAGTACCACTTGGCAGCAGAAGGTGAGAACATTCCTGTTCTCTGGATTCCATAACACGAATTTGCTGTACACACACACACACACACACACACACACACACACACACGCACCACCTACACAACCCCCACACTCTCAGAGACAGAGAGAGAGAAAGAGAGTGGGAAAATGTACTATGTTTAAAAATGATGTGGATTAGTTTTATGAATGATTACTTTCTGAAAGCTAAAACATCTTCCTGAGTTCCTGAAAAATAACACAGATAATGGGGCCAGTCCATGGTTGAAATGACTCTATCACTGCATATTGATGGCATATGATATTTTGGACAAGACTCCAGACTGGTCCTGGTTGGTCTACAATGTCTCCTTTCCTTCTTCAGCTTCTTCATGCCCTCAGGAAGGTCCACTTCAAAACTCCTGATGGAAGTGAAATTATGTTTGATGTTAATGGAGATTTGGTGACAAAATTTGACATTTTCCAAGGGCAAAAGACCCCCCAGGGTGTATTTCACTTGGTCCATGTAGGAATGATAGACTCTCAAGTCTTTTCGGAGAATAAAATATTGATCCATTTGAAGGAGGATCTTCAAGTGAGTTGCCTGTATGCTCAGTTGACTATTTTCCTAGTATCTTAAAGTCATAAGGAAATTCCAATTCTAGGAGTCCCCTTGTTACATGTGTATGAAGACAATGCAGTTCTGGATTGGGTCAGTCAATTATAACTGGATATGCTGTTCATCTCATAAAAGTTCTTTCTCTGAATGATAATGGCTCATAAGCAAAAAATGAAAATATAAAAGCTGGGTATTGGGAGATGGTTCAATGGTTAAAGTATTTGGTGTGCAAATACAAGGACCAGACTCTGGATTTCCAGAGTACAGAGTGGGCAGTGTGTCCTTCCTGTAGGCATCTTCTTCTTCAGGTTGGAAAAGATTTCTTCTGTGATTTTGTTGAATATGTTTTCTGCACCATTAGGCTGGGCTTCTTTGCCTTTTTCTATACCTATTATTCTTAGGTTTGGTCTTTTCACAGTGTTCCATATTTCCTGGATATTTTGTGTTAAGGATTTTTTTGGATTTAAGGTTTTCTTTTGTCGATGAATCTATTTCCTCTAATTTATCTCCAGTGCATGAGATTCTGTCTTCCATCTCTTGTATTCTGTTAGCTATGCTTGCATCTGTAGTTCCTGATCGTTTATTCAGCCTTTAATTTTCCAGAATTACCTCAGTTTGTGTTTTTCTTATTGTCTCCATTTCAGTTTTCAGGACGACCTGTTTTAATTGTTTCTTTTTCATCTGTTTCATTGTTTTTTTTCTTGGCTTTCCTTGCTTTCTATAAAAGATTTGTGAATTTCTTGCATTTTTGATTTTTTTCTTCCATTTCTTTAAGGGATTTTCTCATATTGTCTTTGATGGTTTCTATCATTATCTTGAGGTTGTTTTTAAGGTAATTCTCTTCTGTTTCTTCTGCGCTGGGATGGTCTGATCTTGCTGGTTTAAACTCTCGACACTTTTGCGGTGTCATATAGGTTTCTTTAGTGTTGGATATATTCTTATACTGTCTTCTTCCCACCTCTTCTTCCAGTTGGCATAGGGGAGTCTCCCTCCTGGTGGGTATGGGTTTAGGGATGTATCCTCTACTCTTTGTCTCTGTGTGTGTGTGTTTCTCTCTCTCTCCCTCCCTCCCGCTCTCCCCCCTCTCTTTCCTTCTCTCCCTCACTCTCCCCCCCTCTGCTATAATATTGAGGGGCAAGACCAGAATTGCGGCTGATGATGGTGGCTGCTTTCTCCTGATTCCAGGTCCCTCTGCGGGGTTCGGCGGTCCCATTCTTCTTGCTCCTCATTCTCTACCTCCAGATTTCTCCTTCTATTTATTCTGTTCCCTACAGCCCCACCTATCCTTCTCCTGCCTTGTTTTTATTGGCCATTCAACACCTTATTAGACCATTTAGGTGTTTTAGACAGGCGAAATAACACAGCATAACCGAGTTAAAGAAATGAAACATACAAGAATGTACTGCATGTTTGCATCATTAAGCAAATGTTCCACAGCATAAACAAATGCAGCACAGCTTAAAATATCCTACAGGAGACCGTGACATCTCTTATGAAGGAAACACATTTAATTGGGTGGCTTACATTTTCAGAGTTTTACTCCATTGTCTTCTTGGTGCAATATGACGGCGGCACGCAGGCAGACATGGTGCTGGAGAAGGAGCTGAAAGTCCTAGATCTTGACCTGCAAGCAACAGGAAGTGACTGGGTCACTGGGTTACTTAAGCATATAAGATAACCCACAGAGCCCACCTTGACACGGACAAACTTTCTTCAGCCAATCCACACCTATTCCAAAAAAGCCACGTCTCCTAGTAATGCCACTCCCTTTGAGCTATGGGGGTCATTTACACTCAAGCCACCATAGTCATTTGGATGGCATCATTCCTTAAATACCCCTATCATGTAGCCAGTGGACCAACTCAGAAGCCTTTGGGAAACAGTTGAGATTGAAACCCTGACATTTATTTAAAAAATTAGAAGCAGTGTTGAGATAGGTGTGTCTGTATATGGAGTTTGGTGTATGGAAATATCTCAGCTTTCTGCCATATGAGAGTCGACAAAGAGTCCCCTAGTCTGACACTTTGCCTGACTTTGTTTTGATGGCATCTCCAGTTAATGGTGGTCTTAAAGCTCTCCACATGAGAATGAGGTTCCTGTACTTAGGTTTCTCATGCATAAAGGACACATGGCAAGTATTTGCAGGATTCTTTTGAAGAACCTTTCAGTGGTCTTGATCTGGGGAGGGTTTTCTGCTGTCTTCTGTTGTGGCAGAGATGTCAGCACTCCACACTTCCACCTTCATAACCCTTGCCTGGAAGTAGAGATATGCTAAGAGAAACTGAGTCTTCCTTGGCAGGCCCAAGGTAAATAAGAGGACCACTGAGTGTGCTGTGATAGTTTGTGTGTGTGTGTGTGTGTGTGTGTGTGTGTGTTTGTGAGTGTGCGTGTGTTGAATGAGTCATTACTTATAATATGTCCTTTACTGAAGCTGGATTGTACTTTTTTATTAGTGACACATGTAAACCTCAGAAGCTTCACAGATGGAGACTGAGGAAAGGAATATTGACTGTCATGTCTTCTGAGTTAGATCTGAGTCCATCAAGTAATCAGTAGGCAGTCGGGAGCTTCAGTGAAAGAGAAAAAATGCATCAGAAAATTTTGCCTAGGTTATGGACTTTTGTAATGACTTCAAATACTTAGAGTTCTTTTTTAGGTTTTATTTTGTATTCTTGGAAGTTTCCCAGCGTGTATACTTATATAGCATATGCATGCCTGGTACCGGTGCAGGCCGGACTAGGGCACTGTATCCTCTGGAACTGGAGTTAGTATGAGCTGCTATATGAGTGTTTGGACTTGAATTCTGTTCCTCTGGAGGAGCCGCCTGTGCTCTGAACAACTGAGCCTTCTCTCCTGACTCCATACCTTCAATTGTTGAGGAGGCTGCCCCAGAGAGACTGGAGAGACAACACATCAAACTGGTTTTCTATGTTTTCTAATCTGTTTGTCAAGAGACCTGATGTAGCCCTTCCTCTCTTACACTCAATGGTTCCTGTCCAGTCTGACATCTCCTGGGATAGACATGTTTTCGGGAAGGCCTCTCATTAAGTAGCCTTCATGGAAACTCTCCTGTTTTGGTTCTCAGAGTGAGGTCTTTCATCTGTGTTCCTGTAGAGTCACCGGTGACACTATGCTCTCTGTTACTAGGTGCCCACCTCTGTGTGCAGTAAAAGCTGCCTTCCAGGGTTCAGCCAAGTGCCTAGGCTGGGAGCCCCCAGTGCTGTTTTGATTGCAGTCCTTGCCCGGAGGGACAGTTCGCAGACCAAAAGGTGAGGACATGTAGAGCTGGCATCTGAGGAGTTAACAGGACACTGTGAGCCTACAGCATTTGTCCATTGTCTCCTTTATTGTTCTCCTGCTGTGAAGAGACTCCATGACCAAGACATCTTCTAACAGAAAAACATGCAAGTGGGGCTTCCTTAAAGTTTCAGGGGCTGAGTCCATGACCACCATGGGAGCAAGCATGGCATCAGACAGGCAGGCATGGCTGTAGAGCAGCCACTGAGATGTTACATTGTGATCCCCAGGCAGCAGGCAGGTACAGAGATGGAGAATTGGCCTTGTGTGGGAGTTTGAACTTTCAAAGGCCACCCTCATTGACATTCCTCATCCAACAATGCTATACCTCCTAATCCATTCCCAACAATTCACCAATTAGGCATTAAACAATTAAGTATATGGGCCTATTGGGATCATTCTCAGCCAAAGTATCACACCCATTCGTTTATTGATGGTACCTAGTCTGTGCTTTCTGTGGAGTACCGGCTAGAAATCTCGTCTCATAGTTGTTCATAGGTCAATGGTGTATTGACACAGGAAAGTGAATGAACACCAGTTGTGCTGCATAATGAATTCTCCTCTAGCCAACACTGCACATACATGAACCCTGGTCAAGGAACCACCTTAAGCTACTTACATTCAAAACCCCCTATGAGTGGAATTGCATGGTAGTTGTCCTTTTGTGATGATCTTCTTCCTATGTATTAGTGGAGTTCATCTCAGGGGTTGAATGGCAATAGTCCACAACATGCGCAGCTGTTTGAACTATGGAACATATTCCATTACAGTTCTGCAAGCTGGAAATGAAAAGCCAAGTCATCATTTGAGTTGGTTTTGTGTGAGTCCTCACTCTTGCCCTGGCACAGTCCACAGTCTTCCACTCACTGTATGGTGTCTGTTTGTCGTGTGTGTTGTGTGTGTGTGTGTGTGTGTGTGTGTGTGTGTGTGTACTTGTAACTATTTTTGGGCTTGTTGCTTGGTTTTGAGACACTGTCTCACCATACAGCCCTGGCTGGTTTGTAATTGTGGGAGTTGACTCATTTGCCACTAAACTAATAGAAGACTGTCTGCATTTGTCCCTCAAGTGCTGAGATTAAAGTCTTGTTATCCAAGCTCCAAGTTCTTCTTTTAATTAGGGTAGCAACCGTTGGTAGTAGGTTCTCCACTGGTGATGTCATTTGGCGTTTATTACATCCTCTCAAGTTTACTCCAATAGAAAATATATTTGTGTTTAGGACAGGCCTTCAAAACATGTGTTTTGAGGCCATATGCCATTCTAAAACATTTGTTAACATGATTATTGGCTGATCCTATTGGAAAGAAATGAACTGTTAGAAATTCACAAAAGAGACCATGTCTAGTGTCACCTTTCTTCAGTCCCAGCACTCAGGAGGCAGAGACAGGAAGATCTTTGGGGAATGTTGTCGGCCAGTATCATCAACTTAGTGATCATCAGTTTTAATGAGGGATCCTGTCTTAATAAATAAGGTAAAAAGTGGACTGGAGAGGTGGCTGCACAGCTGGGGCCATGCACATGGCGGCTAACATCCAAGTGTAACTCCAGTTATAGGAGAAATGATGACATCTTCTGATTCCCCAGGAGCCAGCCATGCACATGGTTTCCATAGAAATGTACAGAAAAACACTCAGCAAGTAAAATAAAACAAGTAATTACAAAAGAATGAGCTGCGGAGACTGGTGAACTGGACCATTCACTAGTGAACTGAAGCATTCACTGTCAATTCTGACAGCGTAAGTTCAGCTCCTGGGTCCCACATGGTCGAAGGAGAGCAGCAAATTCCTGAAGGTTGTTGTTGCAAGCCTGGCATGCCTCAGTCCAGAGAGAGTCATGCACACACCATAATATACACATAAGTTTGATTAGAAAAATAAAGTAAGTGAAATGATTAAGAAATCGTATTTGATGATAATCTCTGTCTCCACATGCATATACCTCCACTTACATGTGTATACACAAAAACATGCACACACAGAAACTCACGTATTTTGGCATCCTGGTGCAGAGCTATAATCACAGAACTTAAGAAACTGTGAAAGGAGGATGAGGAATTCACGGCTTACACAGCCTGAGATGCATGAGACCCTGTTTCAAGAGAGAAACAAAAATCTTCACATAAAACACTGTAACCTGTGCAGTTTTTCCCTTTGTGCCTGTGGTTTTAGTATCACCCATGTAGAGTCCTGGTCACCAAGACTAATTCATACATACATAAACTGTCTGAAAGTCTGTAAAAGCAGTTAATTCTTGGGATGCCTTGTTTCAGAGCTGGTGTAGTTGGTATACTATTGCTGAAATGTGTCCATGTGTCTCCCATAGACATGAAGACATGTCTTCTGTGTCCCAAGGAGCAGTACTCGAGCCACAGCAGAGACCACTGCCTGCCCAGGACAGAGATCTTCCTGGCCTTTGAGGAACCTCTGGGATTCATGCTGGCTTTGGTGGCACTCTTCCTGTGTGGTCTGGCTGTCCTGGTCCTGGGAGTGTTCCTGAAGCACAGGGACACCCCTGTGGTGAGGGCCAACAACAGAACCCTCAGCTACTTACTCCTGGTGTCTCTTTCCCTCTGTGCCCTGTGTGCCTTGCTGTTCCTTGGACGCCCCAGTGTGACCACGTGCCTCCTCCGTCAGACCACATTTGCTGTGGTGTTCACGGTGGCTGTCTCCTCCGTTCTGGCCAAGACTCTCACAGTGGTCATGGCCTTCAGAGCCACCAAGCCTGGGGGCAGGATCCGGGGTTGCCTGAACCCCAGAGTTTCCACCGCAGTGGTCCTCATTGCTTCCTTCATTCAGGTTGTTCTTTGTGGGATCTGGTTGGCCACCTCTCCACCATTCCCAGACAGGGATGTGATCTCTGAGCCCCAGCACATCGTCATCCAGTGCCAGGAGGGTTCTGGCACTGTCTTCTTCTGTGTGCTGGGCTACTTGGGGTTCCTGGCAGGGGGAACCTTTGCTGTGGCATTTCTGGCCAGGGGTCTACCAATGTCTTCAATGAGACTAAGTTCCTGACCTTCAGCATGCTGCTCTTCTGCAGTGTCTGGACAACCTTCCTGCCCCTGTACTACAGTGCCCGGGGCAAGTCCACTGTGGCTGTAGAGATCTTCTCCATCCTTGCCTCCACTGCTGGGCTTCTGGGTGGCATCTTCATCCCCAAGTGCTACATCATCTTGCTGAAACCAGAGAGGAACACCCTTGCCTGGCTCAGGAAAGGCCACCAGGCACAACAGGATAGGCAGAGTGAGATGCCCCAGAGAAAGTGTCTCCATGGGTCCATACCACACCACTTTGGGATCTAGTTCTTTATGGAGTCACCTGGATCAACCAAGTGATTTTGACTCATTTTTCCAGGATTCAACAATGGTATTTAAAAGTTAGATCAAGATAAAGCTGGACATTTTGAACAATACACTTATGACTATCAGTTGATAGTGAACATACAGATGGTCGTTTACTACTGTCTCTATGTATTGATAAAGTTCATCACAATTAACTCAGTTTGAAAAGGGTAGTTGGGAAGATGCCTCATCTTGTATAAATATCACTAAGCATGATGACTTGAGTTTGATCCTCAGAACCCAGGCGTTGGAAGTGAGTTCTCCTGGCTAACTGAAGCAAGCACTCCTCCATATGCATACACAAATTATAAATGGAATAACGGGAAAAGGGTGATGGGTTGTTGATGATGGTATCAAGGGTGGCTGAGGGTGTGACAAATTGTCAGGGAGATCATTGATCTCTGTCTTTTGTTTTCAGAGTGCCAGTATATGGGACTCAACCTTTCATTTACAATTCTGTTACAGACTTACCATGTAATTTAGCTTCCCACTCTTAGATATATACCCCCCCAAATGAAAATGAGTGCACAACTGTAAATCCATCTTCAGAGAACCTTTATTCATGTAGCTTATGTTCAAGCAATCTCAGTGTTTGTAGTTAGTGAATGTTTGGTTTGGCTTTCTCATTACTAGGATATTATTTGTAATACAATAAATATAAAAAGAAATAATACTGTTTACTATATGGTTAAATACTGAGAATGTCACTCAAGAGTTAAGGAAGCTAGATAAAGAAAATAATGTGTTTTAACATTCCAATCTATCAAAGAAGCAAAACATAAAGACATATAGTAATCTAATGAGCTTCCTGAGGTTTGCAGAGGCATGATTGGCGATGAGGACTGTAGACTACAGGGTGCAGCATTTCTTTATGACCTGCTGATTTCTTAAACATTTTTTGTTGAGGCTGCAGAGGTGACTCTAATGGTTCAGATCACTTAGCCTCCACACGACCCAGGTGGTTGTCAGATCCCATGTCAGGCACCTCACTGGCACATGTAATTCCTGCTCCAGGGGATCCAACACCCTGGCCTTTGTGTGCATCTGCATTCATGTACCCGTACTGCACTCATGCTTAATAAGAAAATGGTTTGGATGAAATGACAGACTATGGACACCCCCATAGAAGACCTCACCCTCCCTGGGGAAAGGAGGGGGTATTGGGTGGGTGATGGGTGGGGGTGGGAGGAGGGAGGGAAAGGGTGAGGGATGTGAGATTGACATGTGAAGAAACCTGGTTTCAAATTGATATTAAATTTAAAACTAAAATTGTTTAATATAAAAAAAGAAAATGATTTGGTAATGGTTGTAAGACTTCACCAACGTGCTAAAGTCCACCACACTGTTATCTCCTTTTATTTATTGGAGACAGGCTCATTCCATACCTGGCAAAACCAGCAGAGACAGCTGATCTGAACAGGGGAGTGCTCTTGGACCCCAGACCGACAGTGGGGAGGCCAGCATGGGACTGATCTGGACCCCCAAATGTGAGTGTCAGTGTGAAGGCCTGGGCAACCTATGGGGCCCTGAGCTGTGGATCAGTGTCTATCCCTGGTATACGAACTGTCTTCATGTGCCTATAGCACAAAGAGAGATGCTCTCTCAGCCTGGACTCTTAGGGGAGTGCCTTGACCCTACCAAGAGTAAAATGAAAGACTCTAGATATCCCCTATGTGGAAGGATTTGGCAATAGGGTGGGAGGGAGCGGGGAAGGGGAGTGCGGGAAGAGGGGAGGGAGAGGGAACTGGGATTGACATGTAAAACAAGCTATTTAAAATTAAAATAAAAATGATATAAAAAAGATTATCAAAACAAAGTAAACTTAAAAAGGTCAACAAGATTTGGAGTTGGCTGCAGTTCAGATGGCAAGCCTCTTCTCACTACACACTCAGGCAATTACGTGGCATACACAGCAACAAAGTTAGATTAACTGAAGCTATCTCAACCCTACACAGAGATGTATTGATGAACAAAGAGTGATGTAAAAAAGATGATGTAAGAGTGAGATGTCAGGACCTCCCAGTCTTAGAAAAGTTAGCACATGCAGAGCCACCAGAGCCACTGTGGTGTCGCATGACGAAAGAACAACAGAATGCCAGGGTTAGATATATAAACCAGTTTTATATGTAAACATTGTGCTATGCCAGAGTTTGAGTAACAACTGCAGCAGCTTTGGCCTGAGGACATTTTTGGGCATTCTGACCATTCAGAGTTAATAATAGACTGCATGGGACATGGCAGTCTTCCAGGGCTGGCTTGGAAATTTTGTTGTAGTCTAGTGTCCTTGTAGCCACAGAAGCTACTACCCTGAGAACAGGCTGTCATGTGCCTCTAGATTCTTAAAAATTGGGCTATAGAGTTAATGAGTAAAAATGATAACTGTTTATTAATGATGTCAAAACTTGAGGGAAAAATGATTGGAAATGGTAACTCTGTTCTGCCATAGTTTATTAATGATGACTAAGAGATGGGCAAGATGAAGTGAAATGCATGTCCAAATGCTTTGGGACAGCACAAATGTATCCCTACCTACTGAATTCAGGATAAATAAAGAAGGACTCTGTCTGCTAGTCAATCAGGCTGCTAGATTCTCCTGACCATCATGGCCTGGCTCACTCCAGACCTTGTATATTCCTTGCACCCTCTTCTGGGACCTCTCTACCACTCCGATGGCTCCTGGCAGTATAGCAGGGGAGGGAAAGGACAGACAGAAGCTTGGTGTTGCGGCTGATAAGTGCTCTAGTCTTTTGTCTATGTGGGGCACAAGGCTCAGGCTCTGCGCACCCTGCCTTCCATCTTCTGAGACACCCAGAGGGAATGACTCACTGATCCACGGGGAGGTGGTGCCACCCATTGCGTTAATGCAATCAGGAAATAAATGAGTGATGAGTGAGAGGGAAAGGATGTCATCGATGCTTAACGAGCTCTGTCACCTTGGCTGTGCATTTCCAGCTTCCAAGGCCTGTTAAAGAGAGAAGTCTGCACTCTTTGGTGCAAGATCATTTCTGAAGATGAGCTTTAATGAAGTTAAAGGTGTATGGAGAAGCTCTACAGGAAACTAATGAAAGCAAAAATGAAAAATGTAAAAAATAACAAAAGCTTATTAGGTGTGCCTATCAGGGAACCCCCAGAGTGAGGATAATTCATCCTTGCTGAGAAGAAATATTACCCAACACTGGTGTTTTTTTTCTTGAATGTAGGAGATGAGCATCTTAGCCACTGAGCTATATTAAAGAATATCCCAAATGTATTCTGTGTTTTTACACTTCAGGTGTAGACTTGCCAGTCAGGATATCTCTCTGTGTGTGTCTCTGTCTCTCTATCTCTCTCTATCTGTGTGTCTCTTTCTCTCTCTTCCCCTTCCTTTTTCCCATCTCCTTCTCTCTCTTTCCTTCTGTCTCCAGTGGTTTAACTATCTGGGGAAAGGAATGTTATAGCTTATAAGATAAGCAGTTCATAGAAAGGAAGGCTGAAATGAAATGACCTCTTGGGTGAGTTGTGTAAGGACAGCTACAGCATTGTGGCCATGGGCAGCCCTGAAGAGACCCTGAAGAGCAACATCATGAACAGTGTCATGATTCTCCTGAAAGGGAAGACGCTTTCAGTTTCCTTCAGTCTTTAGAACATTAAGAGAGTTATAGCCTTGTATCACAGACAGAATAATGGGGTCTGGAAAGGAAAGACAGCCTCGCATTCTGGAACATCAGGGGAGTTGTAGGGTCATCCTGCAGACAACGTGATGGGGCCTTAAGGTGGAATGCCCCTCAGTTCTTCCTTAGTTCTAAAGAACAAGACCGAAGTTTCTTTCTAGCATAGACGTATATTTTGGTGTGTGCTAGTGGAGGAGTTCTACATCATGTGACTCAGCCTATGTGACCTGAGTTAAGACAGAGATGGGCACTGGATAAAGTTATAATTTAGGGTTTTCTGCTGGGAGAGGGAGAAAACTTGCCAAGACACATCACGTGCTGGTTACCAGTGCCCTGGAGAGAACTGCAGAAGGACATAGCCTGATTTATTGGAGGAATAAGCCATCAGAGGATCTGTGAACTAGCACGGTGGGGGTGGGGGAGTTTCTATGAAGCCTTACAGTTGTGCTGCTATGCGGTTGCCTTCAGATTCCCTTCCCATGTCCCCATTCCTCCATGTCTTCCAGGGCCATCTTTGGCTTGATGTGCACAGAGAAGCACTGAATATTCTGCACCGACACAGGCAGGACATCTAAGAGTCAAGCCTCTTACAAAAGAAACTTCCGGGTAGTACTGAAGGAAAGCCTACAGGCTGGTTATTGTGAGAATATCAACTTTAGTGTGGCCTTGTGAAATCCCAAGATACTGCTTTGTTATGGTCAGGACACAGACAAGAAGGGATTGAGAAAGTTCAAATGTCAAAGCAGCACAAGTCCTGGGAGGCTGGAGCCAGGTCACCATAGGTTTCCAGGAGGCATGGAATGGGGGAACATGTGAAAGGTAGTCCAGGTTGATTCTAGGGCAAAGAACTGAGAAATTTGGACATTAGATTTAGTGACATTAAGATCACCCAAATGTGAATATCCATAGCTTCACAGTATCTATAGTAGGAATGAAATGTACAGACCAATTTCCCTGTATGATTTTTTTTATTTGTGGGATCTTTATAATAAAGTTTTAGTAAAACCAATAAAAGATGTCTGCAAAATAAAA